GGACCCACCGGTGGGTCCTTAGGGTTCTAGGGGTTAAGCAACACTTACTGAATAGTTAGTTTTTTACTGACATTTTTGCTCGGTAGCATTGCTGGTGACCTGAAAAATGGATGAAAACATATTTAGTTGTCACTAATGCTAGTTTTGATTTAATACTAGGTATATCCTAGATTTTCTGACAAAAAGGTCCTATATCCACATGTGTAGAACAGGGATGGAGCTAAGGGATGCAACGGTCACCCTTAGCCAGATCTTTGGCCTCTCCTACCAGGTGATTTCTTGTTCCCATGTTTATGGATTTTACCACCTCTGGAACAAGCAATTCCCCTCTGAACCAGAAAATAGCAGCAACTATCACAAAAAGAGACTTCTGACACATTTGATATATTGTTAAATATTAAATATAAACTAACAAGGAAAATACTGTTATTGAATGTTTTCATCAATATGCCAACATTAAAGATGACCAACATGCTCTTTTGAGAGCTAGTTTTTGTGTACTTTTGGGGAGAAGGGAAAGTTATGTGTCTCTGCAGGTCATCAAGGAGTCTAAGTAATTAAAGAATAACTTCTAAAACCATATCAATGTGTATATTATGCAGAAGCATAGAGTATTAATTCAAACAGTAAGTATGTTTAATCATGCATAGATTTATTCAGATGCGCTTAATAAAAATCTGGTCTTTCTTTACAGATTTATTTAAAAAATACAGATGTTGCACCTGTTCATTTTCCTGTTAGTGAAGTGTTTTTATGTTATATTTATGGATTGACCCTGAACTGGTTTTGAAGACTGTTAGTTTTCAGCCACCTCTCAGTGTGCACTGTTCCCTGCCTGCACACCCCATATGTAAATTTGCTGGCTCTGCCCCTGGTTTACAAAAACACACAACTTAAGCTGTATTTTTATTTTATTTTTTTGTGTGCTCTTTTAACTAAAAAACCTTTAAAGTTTTAGTTGTGTATAAAAATCCCAAGTTTAAAAAGAATGTGAAAAGCAAATTATTAGATCAATACAAACTAGTTACAGCAATAAACATCTCATTACAGACAGTTTTACGTATTTGTAGCAGGTATGTTTTTCTAAACTTTATATTGAAAATACATTTACTATATCAAATTGTTACAGGGAGCAGTATTTTAATTTCCATTTTTGAATTTCTGGTGCTTAAATGTTGACATATTTTCATAATTTATTGTACAAATTTTTAGGGAAAATTTTATTTCAATCTGAAACTAAAAACTTGATATTTCTCCCACTTCTTAAAACATGAGGCAAAAAGATATTCATTATTTAGATAATGACATTTAAAGCTACTTTATGTTTTATTAATATATTTTTTCTCAATTGAATGGTGGATTTTATTATCTGTCTTCCATTGATGAGGACTTGCTTCATACTCAAGCTTATGTTCAACTCTGAGCTGACCTCGCTCAGAGTAAAGTGACCTGATTGACAGAGTCTACAATCTTGTAATCAGTCAGTGGGCCCATATATAGGGCTACAGGTAGTCACTGTGATGTTGGGTAACATGGTGTCTACTGCACTCAAAATGGACCAGAGGAAGATAATGAAAGAGTTGTCTCAGGAGATTAGAAAAAATATATATACCGGTATATAGAAAAGCATGTTAAAGGTAACGCCTATAATAATATTTCCAGGCAGCTTGATGTTCATATGATTACAGTGGCATATTATTCAGATATTTAAGATCCTTGGGACTTTAGCCAACCTTCCTTGATTTGGCCCTGGGAGGAAAATCAATAATAAACAGATGGATAATATGAATGCTAACCAAATAGCCCGGAAAATTTTTTAAAGAGATTGCACCTCAAGTTCAAGACACAAAATTTTTTTGAGAATATCCTATGGAGAGATTAGACAAAGATGGATTTTTTTGCCAAGTCCGATCAGCTCTTTCCTCAATGAAAAAATTAAGCATATCAAGAGAAGAAACCAGTCCCTTCTGTGAAACAAGGAGGCGGCTCCGTTTGCTCTGAGGCTGCTTTGCTTCATCTGGCACAGAGGGTCTAATCTCTGTAGGGTACAATGGAATTTCAAGATGATCCAGGGATTCTGCAGAGAAATGTGATGCCCAGTGTCAGAAATGTTAAGACTCAGTCGCAGGTCCTGGGTCTGGCAACGGGATAATGACCTAAAATCTCACAGCTAAGAACACCCATGAATGGTTAAGGGGAAACCGACTATTCTGTGGCCTTCTATGGGCCCTGACCTAAATCCTATTGAGCATCTTTGGAAGGGGCTAAAACATGTTGCTGGAAAAGGTAACATTCAAACGTGAGACACTTTGAGAAGTTTGTTCATGATGTCAACTTACTTGTTCATAAAGCATCAGGTGGTTTGAAACGAAAGCTACTGTCCTCATTGGGACCATGATTGGAGCAGAAATCCATCTGTGCCTCAACACAATCTCACCTGACTTCATGCTTGATGTTTGTGCTCTGACATGAACTGTTCAATGTGGAACCTTGTATAGACAGGTGTGTGCCCATGGGCAGTTCTATACAGGGGCCAATACCCCTGTAGAATTGACCATGTTATGGGCCCTTTACTGAAGATAACAACAAAATCAATTTCTCATGATATATGTCAGCACGAGATCATCGTATTCATCAAGAGATAAAGACCTTATATATCGGTGAAATAATAAAAAGGGAAATATCTGCTTTAATGTCTTTTTCATTTTTCACACTGGGCTATGTAATGTGCTTTTAGTGGTTTTATTTGAAAACCCTCTAAGGAGCATTTTAACAGAAAAAAGTTGTGAAGAAAAAATAAATTTTAGCTAAACCAATTTAAACCTCCAAAGAAGTTAGTTTATACCTGCAAACCTGACAAAAATGTCAGATGCCTACGATTCTCCAGTTAAAGGGGCCAAAACAAAACACTATTTGACACACTTTGGGCCCCTAATCAACAACTGAGCAACATTTAAACACTCCATCCTACCAAAGCATTGACCCCGTTTACCCCTTCAATAGGATGAAGCACGCATCTTCTGTTGAACATTAGTAACAGTTTCCCAACATGTCTGCATGAACCGTAAATGTGTGAGGAATGTCAGAAAACTTTTTGAATCTACTTTGTGAACTAAACTGAAATGGCCTTACAACAGCAACTGCCTAATAATGTGGCCAGGCTGTGTTTGTAAATTAAACTGCACCCTGAACTTACTGGGCTGCAGTGTTGATATTACACCAGCAGGGGGCATTGCAAAACCTTGCAGCTTTAAAGCAATGTTGGCAGCATCTATTTAAAGGCACCCATCACCTAACTGTAGTAAAGAAAGCACATATAAAAGACAAAATTCAGCGCGCCTACATTTTCATCTTTAATAGAAAATAAAACATATTCAAAAATTATACAACAGGGCGTATCCAAGTAAAGATGGTGGAAGAAAAAACAACAACAAAAAAATAGGTGTGTTTCAGGAACAACCACAAATTCTCACTTGAAGCTCATCCAAGTTTTTGTTGTTTTAATGTTTATGAAGGGATGTAAAACTGTGAATAGTGACTGATGGCAGAAATAAGCTCTATGGGTACCTCTGATTAATGCACATATTCATCTGCAAATGGGATAATAAAATGTGTGTAAGGAAAGTGTGACATCTGTCTTCCACACAGAAATAAGGCGAATGTGTTTCTCTATATAAAACATAAAAAACCTCTTTCGTGTGTGTGTGCGTGTGTGTGTAAGACAGGGCGCTTTAAAGGAGGAAGGGCTAAAGTTTGGAGCTTCATTTTGGAAAAAGACAATGACAGACTATGATGGAAGTAAAGACCAAGATAAGGTCAAACATTAAAAAGGGATACGTTTATCCTGAATAGGTGGCTGTGACATAAAATAAAAAAACAATAAACCATGTTTGATTTAAAAAGGAAGGAGGAATTCAGGAGTTTCTAAACTACTAGCTCCCTCCTTACTCTCATATTAAAATATTCCATATTTATCCCTCTTTCTCCTCCCTCTCCTTTTCAGCCCATGTGGACAAGGCGAGCTTGGCTGAAGGTAGTCGGACTATAAAGTTCAGCAAAGATCCACCACAATCTTCCTCTTTTTTCAGCTTCAGGGGTTTTCCAGTCCTCAACACACCCACAGAGACACTTATCTCTAATGGATATCCACTCAGAGGTTCCTTAGTCCCACTGCATGAGTTATATTTATAGGGTCATGCCACTGAGGAGGACACGGACGAACACAGACGGACAGGTGGAGGGCGGCGAAGTCCGAATAAAGGAAGTATTTGCTTGACCCAACAGGTCAGACGACAATCTGTCCATTGTCTCTGCGTCAGCCTGAAGGAGTGAGGTGCTGAGCGTTGTATTCCGTGACGAAGGTCAACTTTGTCCCATACCTTCTTTGATTTGCACTTAAAGAATCACTGCCATAGGTCCAGAAAGCTCCACACCCCCACACACACCAACGGTGTCCTGTCACACCCAATGCCTCCCCTGTAAAAACACTGATTAAAACTTTCTCTTTCAAGCACACATACACACACACTCAATGAGGCTGTCTGTGGGGGGGAGGGTTTGACTCTGTGGGGGCCGGTGTGCTATGTCCCGTCTTCCTCCTCCTCCTCCTCCGAACAGTAGTCTCGCCCCTAAAAACACAGCAAGACAGAAGAAACAGGGTGAATAAAGCTGGTTTAATGGGCCGTCTTCACACAGCACCTGTTACTTCAATCACATTCAAATAAACGCCCAGAGCTGGATCAGGAGATGCTGAGTGAGATAGTGAAATGCTGACAGGTGAGTTCTCCCTTCATGGAGGTGAGGAGCTGTCTGCTTTGCTCCTCTCTTCAAAGCGTCCCTAAAAGCCCGTCTCTCCCCCGAACAGAAATAGATTCCAATGCCAAGGCTGCATCATAAATTGAGGATTTAAAGGAAACCTCTTCCTGCAAAGCATCAGGAAGGATTTTATTGCAATATTGTGTATATAGCTACTACAGATTTCTATCATATATTAAAGATTTCTGCCCCCTAGTTCAATGTCTTATGTGACTTTAAATGTTCTGAAAGGAAGAAAAACATATAAAACCTGTAAATAGCTGAACTACGAATAGATTAACCATTTGTTTTTAATGCTTGATCATTTGTATCATTTAATCTTTAGCATGAGAACAATATTAAACATTTTAGTGAACATGAAGTAGAGTAATCAAGTTCTATTACCTGTCATTAGTACTATTATACTACTATTACTACTTTTGACTACAATGACCGACATATCAGTGGTTCTTATACCACAGTTTGAAAAACATGGCTATAATCTCATCTAGTGTAGCTTTAGATCATCATCTTTATTTGTAGAGCGTTTTAAAACAGCTACAAAACCAAAATGCAGATAATAGCTAAAAATAATAAAACACAATAAAAGTAATAAAATACAGCATACAAATATAAATTAAGCAAATATGAATTTGTTTAAGCTAAATAAGCAAGGTCACAACAACTAAGTCCTACAGGTGTTAAAGGCAATGAATAAAAGTAAGTCTTGAGCCGTGTTTTAAAATTTTGCAGGGAAGGAGCCTCCCTGATGCACAGCGAGAGGCTACTCCATAAACGAGAAGCAGCGATAGAGAACGCTGAGCTTCCTCTTTAACCTCGGTACCTGCAGGAGCTGCTGACCTGAGGGACCGAGGAGGCAAACAGGGGTGAAGAAGCTCAGAGAGGTGAGATGGAGCAAGGTTATTTAGGCACTTTAAACAAACAGAAGAATTTTAAAATCAACTCTAAAATGAACAGGCAGCCAGTGGAGTGAGGCCAGGACAGAAGTAATGTGATCATTAGGAGTTCCCGTTAAAAGACGAGCAGCAGCGTTTTGCACCAGCTGTAGGTGAGACAGCAAAGACTGGCACACACCAACATAGAGTCCGCTACAGTAATCCAATTGAGATGAAATAAAAGCATATATAATTGTTTCAAAGGGTTGCCAGGAAAGAAAATGTTTTCGTTTAGCCAATTGACTTACGGTAACAGATAAAAGATTTGAACTGCTCAGATTTACTTTCACAATTTAAAATCAATGTCCACCTTAAAACCTAAGTTCATGACAGTCGATTTAAAATATGGTGTCAGGGGTCCTAGGTCTATAGTAGAGGAGTCACTAGGGTGATTAGGCCTAAACACTATAAACTCAGTTTTCCTCTGGATAAAATTTTAAAAGTTCAGGGCCAGCCAGTCTTTAATGTTGTCTAAACAGTTTAATAAAGACTTTAATGAAAACCCATACCCCTGCTTTAGGGACAAATACTTTTGGCAATCATCAGCATAAAAGTGGAAATCAATCCCATGTCTTCTCAGTGTGAAACAGAGTGGCAGCAAATACAGGGAAAAACATGGTGCTCCCAGATTATGGACAGACATGACGGTAAAAAAACAACAACTCAGTTTTAGTCATATGTAAGCAAATGTGTCAAATACTTCAGATGTTTGTTTTTCCTGTGAAACATCCTTAAAAACTTCTTCCATGAAGGCCACAAAAGAGACTAACACATAAGTGGTTACTTCTGGAGTCAGTCAGATGGGCTTTCTATTCTTCGACACCATAAATATGGATGGGGACGCCTTTTTCAGTTGCCTTTTGTATCTCTGTTTCTGTCTCCTTGAACCCAAGGTTCAAGGAGTCTTTTCTCTCCACTGTTGCTACAAGCATGCTTAGTGTGAGTGTGTAAATATTTTAGAAGGTTATGTTAGCTGAAAACCATCAAATCCACCAGATAATCAATAAATTAACTTTTTCTATTTGAATTATTTCTGATCTTCAGAGCCTTCGAGTCAATGAGTCGATGCAATCAACTGTTTTTACTAGGATAGAAAACTTTAAATCATTTTGATCTGGTTGAATTGTCTCTGTAAAGTGCCTTGAGATGACTTGTGTTGTGAATTGGCGCTATATAAATAAAGTGAATTGAATTGGTCTAATTAATAAAGCTTCATTTTTTAAACATTGTATTATTACTTCATTTATTTTTCAGTACCATTTTCAACAGATATTTATGCTATGTGCGCTGACTTGGCAAAACCAATTTTTTTTTACTGATCCTGATAAGTCACCTGACTCCTATGAGTATAAACTTAAAGATAAAATGTAGCCTAATACTGTATAACAAGAACAAGCTAATATGTAGAATAATCTGGCTCAGTTGGCGCTTTTGTCTTCAGCCTGTTGTGCAAGAGATACTAATCACGCACAATGAGCTAGTTGTTATTGCCTTAAAAACACAGTTAACACTATTTGGATTATCTGATTTTAAAGTGGTATTGTGCTTGTTTGATGGTTTTTCCTGCATTGTTTTACTTGCTGTGTTGTTTTATGCAACCATATGAAAACAAGCAGCTGGTTGGAAGATGGAGATTGAAGCGGACGTACACTTCCTCATTAAATCTCACTTAAACATTGTTGTACTATCAAAGGTGAACACAAACCTAACAGGATATATATATATATATATATATATATATATATATATATATATATATATATATATATATATTATGGATGGGCGATATTTTATCGTGTGCGATATAGAAATTCCCCACAATAACAATTTCAATTTATCGTTTTTATCATGAGATGACTATTTATCAGGTTATATTTTTTTAATAAGCCAAGTTAGTTTTGCTGTTTGCATCGTTTGAATAAATTTGGAATTTGGTCTCTCATATTTCAGACTTATTTGATTGGTATCGCTACAGTTTTGCAGTACAGGTGCAGTACTTGAACTTAATTGATATAGTTCAGTGGTTTCTAGTATTTTGTAGGGCTTTCAAGACAGAATTTAGTGACAGATTTATAATACAACATATTTAGCTGGTAGTTTTTATCGTCGCTTATCGTTACAGTGATAAATAAGAGAAATTATCATGATACTTTTTTAGTCCATATCGCCCATCCCTAATATATATATATATATATATATAAATAGATATATGTGTGTGTGTGTGCGTGTTTTGGTTTCAAGGAACAGAGATACAAAGCTATGTGTTTCTATTGGGGTATAGATATAACTTGACACTGAGGGACATTTTGATTTGCCACTCTGCCAGACAGGGACCCATGTTTAACTTCCCAGAATAAAGGAGGTTAAAACAGAATTAAAAGTTCACTTTAATTTAGACTGGCATCTTGGGTCTGCCAACCAGTGGAAAAAATGGGCACTGTCCTTCCTACTATAATTCAAATGATTTCTATATGTCTTTAATAGGGGAATCAATCATTTTGGCTGGCCCTGTATTTGTAGTTACCTAAATATTTGGTGGGCTATAATGTTTCTAATGACAAAATTTCACAATTTGCATGTCACTTAGATATTGGACGTGGAAATTGTTCTAAAGCTCAGAGAATGATAGCCAATCCATGAGTGGAGAGCAGAGATTTTCCTTAAATCATGCAGCCCTATTTTCTATTGCTGACTTAAACATTAATATGGTAAATTGATTGACTACGGTAACTTATGCGTTTTGGTGTCCTTCCAGTATGAAGTACAAGTATGAAAAAAGGTCAAAATGAGCTTCATTTAATGATTTTTATTCTTGAAATGATTTAACATGAATTTAAAGACAATTTCATGAGGACTATATTTGTAAATATACCAAGTTATGGCTCCTTTAACAAAAATATCAGCCAGGATGAGGACTTATGTGATCTACAGTTCTGGTTTATCCTTTTCTAAAACTTTTTAAATAAAGGTCAGATAGTTAATGGAGGGAAATTGTTTTAGTGTGAAATTTGCTTCTTGATCTGAGCTAAATGAGTTCTGTGCAGAGATTAACTGAAAGGCTGACCTGTGAGGTAGGAATACAACTGATAAAGCCAGATTACAGTTTGCAGCTCCACTCAGACAGTTACCATAATCTTTGGGGAAATATCATTTAGTCTGATTAAACTTAAAAAAGTAAATGTTTGGACATCATGATCATTTTCACATTTGGAGGAATGAGGGAAAAGCTAGCCAGCTTTGAAGCACAGCGGTGGCAGCATCATGCTGTGGGGGTGGATGACTGCAGCAGATATTACTGCACTTCACAAAAATAGATGGCATCTAAAGAAAAGGGAACATATAGAGATACTGAAGCAGCAGCTCCATACAAACTTGGGCACAGATGGACTTCCAGATGGACTCTAAGCAAACGCTAAATAAAGTCTGTGTCATACTTGCCACAAAAACATTATCTGGCTGACTAAAAAAAGATGCGTGTCACCAAGGCTGCTTAAAGACCCAAATATCTGGTTTGAATGTAGAAAACAATAGTGTGAACTGAGAGCAATATGCACAACCTTTACCAGCTGACAATATGACATTCATCTCTCAGGAAATGACGAGATTCTCTTTAAATTTAGCTGCAAGTACAAAAGTGCTCTAAGCAGAGGGCAAAAATAAAAATGAGTCATTTCTTGGTTCACTGTAAAACACAGGGTCTGTGCCTGAGCTTTCAGTCATACCAGCAAGTAACAAAAACCAGTGTTCATATACGGCACAGTGATCAGCAGTTTCTTCTTGAGATTAAACATAGAATGATGATGTGGAGAAAGGGTCTCTTTATGTTTTGTGTCTTCATTTTATGTTTTTTTCCCTTTTTTAATCATATCTACATCCACCTAAACTGCCTCCCCTCCCACCATTGAAGACACACACAGATCTCACCTTTTCAATCTTCTCATCCAGCATCCTGAAAAATTCCTGCTGGCTCTCTGACGTGTGAATACTGGGGGAGACAGAGGCAGGGAGGGAGGGAGGGAGAGAGGAAGTCGGAGGAGGAGGAGGAGAAGGGAGGCAACAAATACATCATGAGAATTTTCCATTACACACCCACCCCCCACAGAGCAAGCACGAATAAACGCTCCCACTACAGGCCAAGATATTATCCGTTTCAGAACCTACTGAGGAATTGGAATAATAATTCAATTTTAAAAAAAAAAGATATGGTTACAACAGTCCTTGAAAGGACAAATAATGTGCAACGCATAGCTGCCATCATTCCTGAGGTGGACCTGCGAAGCTGCTTTACAAAAGCCAGACACTTCAGATTATTTACTTACAGGAGTTGCACTGTGAAGGAGGTGATAGTTTAATAAAAGGTCACAGTAATGAACCAACACATGAGCAGATCCTCCATCAATAAATGTAAACCATTCCTTACGTCTTATCCTGTGGTGCTTTCAGAGAGAAAAATAAGATTTTCTCCTTTAACTTTAATAGTAGCACTAAAGATAATTTTCAGCATTAAAAAAACTTTAGTTATTCCAGTTTAGGTTAAATAGGACCTTATTGCATCATTGTTTTCCAAAATAAGAAAACTGTACTTTCACAGACCCCTCTTTCTGACAGATTAAAGCAAACATTCATTTTTTAATTCATGGTATATATTTGTCTACAGCAAACGGCAGGTTAAATGGACAGTTTGAGGTTATGTATCTATGCATGTATATAGGTTTGCATAAATGTACGCACAGATGGACAGAGAGGTGAAGGACAAAGATAAGTGGATAGATATATTTAACTCCTATCCAATAGAACAGGAAATAAGGTCTGGAAATGCAAATATATATGATCCATTATCCATTCTCAGAATATAGTTATTTCATTTAAAGGAATCTTACAGCGATATTTCCTTTTTGTAAAAACTTTAACCTAAAACATGCTGATTGTTTGATTTGTGTGATTTCATGTTACATCGCATTGAGTGGAATAGCCCTTTAACAGATTTGTTTGAGTGCTGCCGGCCTCTCAGAGGAATAATAAATAAAAACCTGGATGATTAAAGTTAAGTGGAGGCTGTGATATTTGACACAATGGAGGGTTAGCTTTCTCTCCCCGCTCTAAACCCCTTTTTGTAATCGCTCATGTCGGACATGTTGGCACCACACGGTTGGACAGCTTCCTGTGACAATTCATTCTGCCTTTTCCTTGAATCCATCATCCAGTATGATCCAATATATAAACGCATCCGTTGGTAGATTAACAAAACATTTCTGGAGTAGATCTAGAGGCTGAGGCCGTCAGCTTACCTAGATTTGAGGTTTGTTGCAGCCGCCTCCTTCTGCAGTTTGCCCCTGTGCTCCGCATTGCTCTTCTCCTGAGAGTGAAAACACACATCCTTAGTTTTCAACATCAGCAGACAGAACACATCCCAAATAAATGACTCATATCGGCAGGGAAGCCAAGCTACCGACAAATCAAAACCTGAATGATTGAACTATGCACTCATCCAGCAGCTGGAGGACATGGGTCACAGATATAATGTAGGAACATCTAATAAAACAGACTATCAGCTCTAATCAAGGTCAGCTACAGTCAGTGTTTCTGCAGGTGCGCCGTGTCCAGTCTCCTGCAGGGAGTTAGTGTTGATAACCCAAGGAAATGGAGGAAAAAAGGAATTTTCTCTTTTTCATCTTAAAGTTTTGTTTAGTATAAATCATGCATGGATAAAATAAAAAAAATGTGTATTTTCAGCTCCTGTAAGTCTTTACTGTGTAAATTCATCTTTTGCTGCAGTTAATGGAAGCACTTTTTTTCCAAGCGTTCCACAGATTCAGTATTGAATTACGATCTGTACTTTAACTAGGCCATTCTAACACATCTCTCGAGCTGAAGCATTTCATTCGTAGCTTTCTTTAGGTTTAGGTTTGTTCTCCTGCAGGAATTAAACACTTTCCAACTCTAACAAGTACTCTTCAAAGATTGCCCAGTGTTTCATCCCATCCATCCATCCATCCATCCATCCATCCATCAAGTCAGACTGCCTCTACTTTCCTTGTGAAGCCACAGGATGGTGCTGCCACTAACAGTGTGATGTGTTTTACAGGATGTGTAGTACTGGTTTCCATCAAAGTGTTCCATATTTTTTTAAATCAAGAAAAAAACAAAATCAAGAAAAACATTAAACATCTAGAGTGGTGCACAATAAAAGTATAATTATGACTGAAAAGCAAAAGTATAGTTTATATACTATTCTATAAATCCAGGACAAAATATACACTGGTTATGATGACGTCAACAAGAAAGGATTCTTGTAGGTTAAAGTCATGTGTTAAAGTTCTGAGTAATGGCTCTTTCTCAGTGTTACATTTTTCACATTCAAGCCATAAAAAAAGAGGCAAAGAAATAAGCAAAACAAAGATGATCCTCATGAAGCCTTTGAACATTGACTTAAGCAAGAGGCTCAGAAGCCACATGGAGGTTTCCACTTTCCTCCTGGACAGGCAAGTTCATTTTTTTTCCTAATGGTAACAGCAATCATTACCAAAACCTGCCCAATGGCTGGCATATGGTACAATTTGAAGTTGAAATGACAGAGGGCGAGCAAATGCGCCACCTACTGGCCAAAAGTTAAACATGTAGCCATCTCCTTTATAGTGGTGCATTTACTTCTCATCTAACCCAAATTCATTTTACATTTGCAGCTTGTGGCTTCTTCACATGTGGCTTTCTTCTTGCAACTCTGTCATAAAAAAACAGATTTATTAAGTGCTTCAGAGATTGTTGTCCTGCTATTAATTCTCCAGCCTTATCATTGGATCTCTGCAGCTTCTCCAGGTACCAGGAGCCTTTTGATTATTCCTCCAGCTCTACCGCCTTTGTCTGGCCTTTTAATTTAGGTTTGACATATATCCCTTGGTAGGTGTGCAGACATGCTACCATTTATTTTTGAGAGGAAGTGCAGCTCTATTAGATGCTTTAAGCTTCTCCTTGGAAAACATTTGAGTTTTGTCTTCATAAATCGATATAAAACATAGAAGCCACAGTGTGTTCTGGGTAAACTCTAGATCAGATAGTAGGTTTGTAGCTTATAAAGAATAATCAGGCTCGGCTTCTGCTTTCATTGTTAAATAAAGTTGTATTTTTCCTATAGTCCAATCCTCTTGTTTTTTACAATCAGGATTTATTATTATCGTTTTAACACTTGCCAGGATGTCCATCTACATGAAGGAAAAAAAAAGAAGTTCTCCTATCTCACCGTCATAACGTTCAGAGCTTTTCTGTCCTGAGGAGGAAATAAATTTATTCCGAGAGATAATGTGTCTCAGGTTATTAATTATTTACACTGTCAGGTAAGACATAGTGGGCAGTAAAATCATTTATGAGGTTTTAGAACAAAGTGACTTCATGAGACCTCCCTTATGGGTTTAAAACCAGAATATTTCAGCCATGGTGGGGAGAAACCGACCATGTGCTCAGCCTACGCATTCCACACACGCCAGACTGCCGTTTCCACCTGCTTGTGAGGAAGCTTTCCGTTTGCCGTAGTGCATTTCTATTTGTGCTTGTGCAAGAAGATGCTGTGTGTTTGTGTGTGTCCAGCTGTAGGCTGGAGCTGATGAGCTGTCAGAAGAACGTCTGAGTGTGTGTAGATGACAGGCTGTCAGTGGACTGTCTGCTCTGTGTGGGAGTGTGTGCGTCTCACCAGGTTCTCTTGGTTGCGTGCGTTCACCCGGTTTTCCTCCCCTCTCATGTACTTCACCTCCTCTACTCCCTTCATCTTGTATTCATCTAAGAACAGAAAAGTTGTCGTGATTAAAGGAGGGGGAAATACCAATTATATGCATTTATGAGGAACAGGAGATGAAACAATCAGCAGTTTCCTTTCATTTGCCTTTAAATACAAATTTCGAGTGAAAAAAAACAAAAAATTAGAAGTTAGAAATTGAACTTTATTGATCTCACAATGGAGAAATTAACTCTTCATTTAACCCATCCTCTTTGGGGAGCTTTGGGCTGCCCCTGTGCAGTGCATAGAGAGCGGTGTGGGGTTAAGGGCCTTGCTCAAAGATGGAACCTCCTCAGAGCACAAGCCCAGTGCTCTAACCACTACGCTAACACTCCCCAAGACGCTGAGCTGGGAATCAAAACCGGAACCTTCTGACTGCACTGAGTCACTGTGCAGCCCAAAATCTCCTGCCTGCACTGTCACTGCATTATATAATCCACACTGTTCATTATTCTATTGATTTTAGCCACATTTAGTCGATGGTAATGCAATACAAGAACCCCATGCAAGATTTTAAAATGTGCAAGCAGCAGCTGCAGAGCAAATCCCTTTACATGAGACATTGCTTCACTATTATAAATAAGAAAGCAGCGATATAGAAACAGCAGGAGAACGCACCACAGAAAACAGAAAGAAAATGAGACGACAGCGACAAGAAGAAGGAAAATGGAAGCGGATTAAGGATCAGATGAACAGCTTTTTGGCTACATGGAGAGCTAAGACGGCTAAGACAGTTAGTAGGAGCTCAGTAAAGCTTTAAGATTTCCTTTGAGACGGCGTGGCAAACTCCCACCGCCACCCTTCTTCTTCGCAGACTGCAGAATATAAATGATTTCCACTGAAGGTTAATTCAACTTTTCATAAAACAATCCAGTAAAATTCTGAATTAAAACGAATACTTTAAATGAAAATGATTGTAAAGCTCTGGTAACGTAATGTTTTCATTCCTTTCATGTCTTTCGGGTGTTCGCTCCACCCTCAGTTAACATGAAGTGAACCATTAAACTATGCCATTTTAGATTTTCTTTTCTTTTTTTTTTTTTATAAATGGAGAGACAACACAACCATATAAGAACTAGTTAGATTTCCCTGGTATTGGTCAAGACTCTGGCAGCGTTTTTTGAATAGTAAGAAGCTGACATATTTTGTTTAAAATAGAGACCTTAACCACACAAACTTTAAATAAAACTATGAAACAGTCTTTCTGTTTCCTACAGGTAATTTGACAGGAACCCCTTTATTCTACCAATGTTCTTTAAAACGATGGGATGTTTCGTCAAGATTTCAAACTGAATCTACCCTCTTTTAGGTCAGTTCCACTTTTGAATAGAAATTCAAGAACAGAAAAAACCCATAGCATAGGTAATTGATCATCCCTGTCAAGTTTTGGATTTGAAAATAAGGGAAATTTTTACGACATCCAACCTCCCCGGTCAGGCTCCAATATCCAGCAGATCTTTAAAACGTGCATGAGAAATCTAAAATAAACACTTATCAACCAATTGCAAACAATAAGGTGATAAGATTTTGACTTGTGATGCTAGCGGTAGCTCCGTTTGCAGAGGCAGATCAATGGGTGTTATATAATTTTATAATACAGGAAATTTACAGGAGACTGTTCATACGAGAAGATGGTGCTGAACTAGGGTATAATAAACGGTGGTTTCCCTACCAAAACGGGAGACTATTTAAAAGATCCAACCCATCTGACAATGTGCTGAACAGAAGTAGCACAGAATATTATCAGGTTATTAATACCGGCACGATGGACATACACCTTTTAGGCTAACAGCCAATGGTGATATAATATTGAAGAACTGGTTTTATCTGTTGCACGTCTTGTATTTTTGCCCTCGCTATCAGCAGCGACTGGGTTTCTGTCCGTGCCCTTTTGTACCCAGTCAAAGCTCCCTCTGCTCATCATGTTCCGTCACTTTGATCACCTGCTTCTTTACGATTGAGCACAACCGCACACCTTTCTGTGCTTTGGAATCATCTGTGGAGGACACAGCAGAAGGGGGGGTGAAGAGGACGTAATCTTCTGCTGTTTGTGTCAGGAATGTAAACAAGTTATAGCAAAGCTGCTCCTGTCTTAGCATGCCACCGCACATAAAGAGCTCCGTAACACAACGCAGGCTCACCGAGCTTGGATGTGCTCCGTAAACACATGGCACATTACAGCGAAGAAGCAGGAAGCAGAATCGAGAGCCGCTTCCTCTGCTCTCCAGTATGGCACTACAACCGTTTACACCGATGTCAAGCTGTGTAAGCTGTCATTTAGGGTGGATACAGCAGGCAGGCAAATTAGCAGCTGCAGGCCACAGAAAGGAATCAGAATGTACATTCGTACGTAATGGTTATCAAGAAATGCTATTTTATGATGCTGGATATGCCAGAATGTTCTCATCCTGCTAAAGGAACCTGACTACGCTTAAAGTGATGAGTATAGAAAGATCAAAGTGGCCCGGCTTACAGCATCACAGACTGCAGATTAGATAGGTGCAGAAACCAGAGAGTCTCATCCCCATGCATTGCCGTTCCAGTCAACAGAAATGACACAGGCATTTCGTCATGCAGTTGCCGGGGTTCGCTTTTGGGGTGGGAGGGAGAGGGAAAACTGTCAGAGAGGAGAGAGGGATGAAAAGACTATTTTGAGAAGCTGTGGTTTTGTTGATGTGGACATCTTTCTCTACGCCGATTAGAGAGTTGGGTTCTGCGCTGACCTTAAGGACCCGCTGCGAGCGCAAGGATGCGCTTGTAGGACGTTTTCAGAGTCAGAATGTCTCTGAATTTAAATGTCGTTATGTCCAAGTGTCTGCAAGGCTGGTGAGTCATTTAAATGGCCATATTTGGTGATGTCTGCTCTCGCAGCTCGGCCTGTCCTGTGGCTGTGTCACTCCGTCCTTCCTGCTGAGCGTCCTACCTTCCAGCCCAACTGGCTGCAAGCCATCACCAGCCTGGCATCAACATCTATACCTGAACTGAGAGTCAAAGTGACGCACATTGAGCAATAATTAGAAAGAAAACCGGGTTGTTGTTTTTTTGGAGGCCCAGAAATGATAGAAACGTCCCACTGTTAAACCAGCAAAAAACTCTTTCCACATAGAAGGCACTTTTCGACCATGTAAACTAATTCCTGGTAGATTTTGAAGTTGGATGTTTTCCCTTTCTAAGGTTGTCATCCCTTTGAGACCAAATTTAAACACCAAATTTATCTAAATAAACATTACAGAGCATATAACCATTTTTATACAGCTCTGAAGCCCTTTTTTCCATAAAAAGAAACTTAGTATGGGTTTTCTGTTTGTCCTTAAATAATTTTAGTCATAACACACAACTCAAAGGCCTGACCTTTCTTCTGTGTATGGAAAACTGAAGCTGACAGAATTAAATCAAATAAACTGTTTAATAAAAAAAAATCACTATACTTCAAACAAAGACATTAATAAATCTAAAACAATTTCTAATTTTTATGAATTCTTTGGCACATTTGAGGCAGCCTGGTAAGCCAGACTGACTAAACCCGAAATCCTACACCCCATCCCACTCCATTCCAGACCGCCTGCACAAAGCAAAGCCTGCAGCCTCCATGGTTCCTCCCATCTTGTGCCGGTCTGACTTCTTTGGAGCTCGAGGAGAGCATTCGCGATATATTATAATCCAATTCATAGGAGCAAAACATGTGGTAATGAATGCTTAATTTAATATGACATAATTAAAACTCAGCATCAACCAAAGATGTTTCTGCCCAAGCATTTTCTTTTTGTTTTGGGTCTTTGTAATAGGGACAGTTAGGATCATACAAAATTGGTTTGTTCTCTACTTAAAAACTCATTATCGCTTCAGCCATGCCTACAATAAGAAGTTTCTTTAGACGCTGTTAAGATGCACTTTTGGAAGTTGGTGTGACTGGATCTGACGAAAGTTTTAAGCCTCTCAGTATAAAGTAAATATTTTGACCGAGGTGAGAAATCGGCTTCCTGGTATGTTGAAGTAACAATAGTTTTCATCCAATAATCTGATTAAAAGGTCTTAGTTTATAAGACCTTGGAGCATATAAGAATTATGCTCCAATTTGTAAATGGCCTATACCTTTACTGCACTTTTGCAAGTCACAGGATTTAAACCAAAAGCCTTTACGCTACATTCAGTCATTCACACACTGATGATGGCAAGCCACATTGTAGCCACAGCTGCCCTTGCTGCCGTACACCGGCTCCACTGGGCCTTCTGACCACCATCAGCAGGCAATGCAGTTGTAGTTACCAATCTACTGTAGTCGTAGTTCCAACAAACCGGAGCATAACAAAAAATCGCCTGGCTCCATATTTTGATGGTGAAGGGTGGAGAAGGTGTACGTGGATGGTGACGTGCGGAGGAGAAGCAGTGAATGTGGAACAGTTCTCATTGATTGACATGACTGCACAAGTGCTCCACATGACATGTGTGAGCGGGAAGGAGCATTGACAGAGGGTGTGCAATCTGCGGCTTATGCCATATGCGAAGTGCATCTGTCCGAAAATAAGCTAGTAAGCCAGTTTAATATATATTAAATTACTTTTCAGGTCAACATGCAGCACGTGGCTATTCTAAAATCCCTGCATATGTAACGATGGATTCAGATCTGAGAGCTAACGCTAAAAAGCTATTTTAAGCCAACAAAACAGATAGACTGAACTCATGAGAGACTTTAAACGTGTCTGCTGTATGCTGTAATCTAGAGGGGTTAATACAGGCATCCCCAAAGTCGGCCCTCGAGCGCCGCTGTTCTGCAGGCTTTAGAGGTTTCTCTGCTTTAGCACAGCTGATTCTGATGATTGCAGTTCAGCAAAAGCCTGTTTATCAACTATCAATGTAAATCAGCAGTGCTGGAGCAGGGAAACCTCTAAAACCTGCAGGACAGCGGCCCTCAAGGACCGACTTTGGGGATGCCTGGGTTAATACAACCTTGTCTTTACAAAAAAAAAAAACAATGACTTCTTAATCTGCTGATCCTAAATGA